GGAAATAAAACATCACAATTTCAGTTCATTCCTCATTCAGAAGGAACTAATGGACACAGAAACTTTTGAAAAAGAGTAATGAATGATGAGTGCCAACATGGGTGTCTTGGTGACTGTACATGTGACTCTATGCATGAGACTGGATAAGAATAGGAATAAATGTGAATATCTGTTATGCAAAAGTGCTCAATATTTTTTTTTCATAAAGGTCAAAATCAGTATCTGACTCTTCCTTAAACTGCCCTTGATTTGATAATCATCAAATAATGTAAGGATTGACTTTCCACTTACCCTAAGACACTTCTGGAAGTAGGTCATGCCATGACCATCTAAGAATCTCTGACAGTTAACTGGAGTTTCATCTGTTACATTCCACATTGCTGACCATGCAATTTCAAGCATGTCATCATGAACATGTTGTTGCAATCTATCACTGATCAGCTTCAACATAGTCTGTTGGAATTAAGAAAGAAATATAAATAATGAAGACATACAGATTATCAGATATGGAGTGAAAATGTGCACAAATGTGTACTTTATATAGCTAGTGCATGAAAAGATGACAGCATCAAATTGGGTATCATGAATTCAAACCACAAAAAATCTATTTTCATTTCAGACATGATTATAATTTGTACAAATATGTAGAAAATGTAGATAAACCATGATTCTCCACCACTGAAAGTTTAATGTATATTTCAAATTCACTTAAAATGTACTGGGTTTCAAAGTCTTTATTTGACAGACTATGCTCTTCATGTCATTAATGACAAGATACTGCATGACAAAATATTACTTTCTGGTTACTGAATTATCATTCATAATTCTATAACATTTCTATAAAACTCATATTCCTTCTAAAACATCCATGTCATCCTTCTATTATTATATATCAGACCAAAAAATTCTTCCAAGCATATGTAAACAATAAAATACATAGACACATGCTTAATCCATACCTATTTGCCAAAATTGTGGCTAATTCTTTTTAGAGTCCTATACACCATGATCTTGTTAAGACTGTCAGACTAGTGGCAGCTTTCATGGGTTTTCTTTTTGCTGTTAATGAGTGAATATACTGTCTGGAATATACCTATTCCCATTACAGGCCCTTCATTTTCATTGCCAATAATAAAGCTATGTTTGTTGTCTGTTTCTGCTTTGCATTGTATGTAATGAGTGAGAAATGGGAATTTTGACACTGTAAGCCATATATCATCATCATCATCATCAAGGGGCTAACACCAATGGAGGAACAAAGCCACATCCACCCTTTGTTTCCACCTACGAGGATCCCTCATGGCTAGACGCCAGGCAGGGACTTGGACCATCTCGAGTTCTTCATGGCAGGTTTGGTCGATCTGCCCAAGCCATGACTTCCTAGGTCGTCCCACAGGCCTCCTCCACCCAGGGTTGTCTCGAACAATGACAACCTGATGGGTGGGATCATCCTGAAGAAAGCGAGCCAGGTGGCCATATAGCCCGAGTTGGCGATCTAGGATTGTGCAGATAACAGGTCTTGTGCCAGTCTCACAGTGCAACCGTTGGTTGGATACATGGTCCCGCCAACAGTAACCTATGATCCGGTGCAAGGACCTATTACAATAAGCTTCAAGACGAACAGGTTTTCCTAAAAGGTACCTAAAATCCTGGATCTTTGTCTCAGACCAAGAGACCTGTAAAACCAGGGGCTTTGCCTCATTGCTGAATACATCAAGAGCTGCTACCAGATATTCCAAAGATTCGGATAGAATTGAAACACTGTCAGCAAAGTCAAGGTCCATGAGCGAGATACTGCCCAAGTGCTGCGCTACACTGACTTTGGATAGTAGCTCTGCCCATTATCCAGTCCATGCAAGTGTTGAAAAGTGTTGGTGCAAGGACACAGCCTTCCCTCACTCCTGAGTTACTAGGGAAGCTCGACAGGCTTCCACCACACTTTACAGCACTTCAGTTCCAGTATATAGGCTTGCTATTAATCCAATAATCCATGTTAGAATTCCCCTAAGTCTCAGGATCTCCCATAATGATTTGCGATGCATCGAATCAAATGCCTTTTTGAGGTCAATGTAGGCTGCGAGCAGCCCACGACCAAACTCACAATGATGTTCTACAATGACTCAAAGCACTAGGATACGGTCTATTGTGGACCTCCAATTAGTGAATCCAGATTGCTCTGGTCTTTGGTGCCTAAGCTGGTAGTTGCAGATGCATTTCAGAAAAATGTGGGCGAAAACTTTGCTTTATATTCTAAGCAATGTGATGCCATGGTAGTTGCTATAGTCCCAACAATCCCCTTCCCCCTTCCATATGCTTGCTACTGTCCCACCCTTCCTCTTAGAGTTCACTGATGGGTGAGTCAGGTACAGGGATTGTGACATCCCTTGCATCTAGACTACCTGCTGGGGGTCTACCTGATACAATTGCTTAAAACACAGCCCAACATTCACAAACCCCTACATCATCTGAGATGATACATCCATCCACTGAGTGGACTGCA